CATGCATTGATTTTTCTAGAGTCAGTCAGTAAAATCTTTATTAGATCATAGGATAGAATTAGATCCTTAAAAATATATTATACTTAAGACATAAACAGGAAATTCTCTATTTCCCATGTTACTGCTATAGATATATTACATATAACCAGTATATTTCAATGTATAGTATTTGCATTCTTTTGTATGCTCTTTAGACAGCTGTCAATAATTTAATGATAATTTGTTTAAAGAAAGAAAGGGGAAGGAAGACTCAGCAACCTTTAAAAAAAACAAACAAAACAAAGCCAATGGGCCGTAGATAGGGCAGTATAATTATTAATGTTAAAAATTGTTTAAGAGAGTTGGAATTATGCCTCTAGGCATATGAAGTGAAGTTTAATTTAAATGTAACCATAAATGATGATTATTATATTATAACATATTAAAAAGGTATGATAAGCTTCATTAAAAAACAGAAAAAAAGAAGATAACTTAGAAAAAGCCAGGCTTTCTCAGCAGAAATATGTTGGACTGCTCATGGCCAGTTCAAAATTAATTCAGAAGAATGGCTACACAGTTTGGAACCAATGTATACTTTACATGTGTTTAGCACATTGGTTATTTGTTATAGGGTTTTCTAGTGGGAGAGGAGACATTATTGGACTTATTTTTAGTTTGAAATAATTTTATTTTTATCATTTACCTTGATCTTTATTTAAAAATTTGAGCTGGTAGTAAACATACACACATGGTTCAAATGTACAAAAAGATATATACAGTGTGGGGCAAAAGTAGGTTTATAGTTGTTTATATGGAACGTAGTGTAATAATTAATAAATAATAACACAAGAATAAACTCTGCTTCTGGTACTTACAACTGTAAGTTTACTTTTGCCCCACCCTGTATATAAAGGGAAAAGTTTTAAGATCTTTCCCCTGTTCTATATCTACCCAGTTCTTACCTCACCATAGGCATCCACTTTTACTAGTTTTTTAATCCTTCCACAAGTTTATGTAAATACAAAATATATACTATGCCCCCAGTTTTTAGCACAAATGAATGTGTATCATATTATTATCTACTGTTCTGGACACTTTTTTGCCCCCACTTTATAAAATACCATGAAGAATCTTTCATATCAATACATATAGCTTTTTCTTTTTTTTTTTTGATAGTTAAGTCCAAAGTGCCCACCAATATCTGTGGTGAGTTTTTTTTAAATATTTTAATTTAAGGAATTTGAGTAGCTTTCCCTGAGTTTAAGATGTTATCTTAAATAATGTATTTTTGTATTTTCCTGTAATAAACAGGGCAATCTAGGTAAGTTTCGATATATGCAGCCTTGTTTCCTCCAAATTTTATTTTTAAATATATATATTTTATTGATTTTTTACAGAGAAGAAGGGAGAGGGATAGAGAGAAACATCGATGAGAGAGAAACATCGATCAGCTGCCTCCTGCACACTCCCTACTGGGTATGTGCCCGCAACCAAGGTACATGCCCTTGACCGGAATCGAACCTGGGACTCTTCAGTCCGCAGGCCGACGCTCTGTCCACTGAGCCAAACCAGTCAGGCTCCAAATTTTTATCTGAGTAAAATACAAATAAAATTTATCATGTTAACCATTATTAAGTATATGTATAGTTCAGTATTATTAAATACTAGAGGCCTTGTGCACAAATTCGTGCACGGGTGGGGTCCGACCGGCCTGCCCAGATCAGGATGAGGGGGCTGGTCGGGGTGGGGCCAGCCAGGGGGAGAGGCCGTGGGCGGTTCGCTGGCTGGCCCCACCCCACATAGTCAAACTCCCAGTGGAACTCCCGGTTGAGGGGACAATTT